GCAATCCACCTCTGCTGATGGTGTTCGTATTTTTGGTGTTTTTTTCATTTCTCATCTGTGACATCAACGCTCTGCTGGTGTATGACCGAAAACAACTTTTGGATCTTCGACCTTGTGGCATCAATGTCGCTTATTTTGTTCAATATGAGCGTAACTCTGGACCTCCCCCTGTCCCCCCGCTGCTGGCGGACATGCCTGCTTACCTGCAGCGAGGCGCGCACCTGCCTCCCCGGAGATGTCGCTCCAGACGCCGTGGAAAACGCGCTGGCCGGCTGGTGAAACTGAAAGCCCAGCTGGCTGCCTCTGAAACATCCTCTCCAGCTGATGGTGAGCGTTTCCACCTCCGCTCCTGGCGCTGTACAGATCCTGTGGCGCGCTGTCTGGTCCCGCTGTCGGGGTCCCATCATCACACTGGGCCCGTGCGCGGCTGGGTTTCCTGCCGGAGGCGCGCATCTATCTCTGCAAATCTGAGGCGGCTGGACTGGACACTGCAACCATCTCCTCCTGTGGTGGATTCTACGAGGATGGCCCTGATAAATGCCAGATCACTGGGTAATAAAACTTTTATTTTGAACGACTTTTTCTGCTGCAACCGACTGGACTTTCTTTTCATCACTGAGACTTGGATCTGCCCTGGTGAGTTCAGTGTTTTTCTGGAATTACTGCCTCCGGATTGTTCTTTTTTCAATGCTCCAAGGACAACTGGTCATGGTGGAGGATTATTGGCTGTTTTTAGGAAACATTTGCACTGCAGACAGCTCCATGGTTCAGCTAATTATTCGAGTTTTGAACTGCTCTGTTGTGAGCTGGGCCGCTCCAACCCAGTTCTGTGTGCTATTTTTTACAGACCCCCCGGATACCATAAACAGTTTTTAAATGAACTATCTGACTTTCTAACTGGTGTTCTGCTCCAATATGATCGGGTTGTGATTTTAGGTGACTTTAATATCCACGTGTGCTGCCCAGATAAACCATTAGCTCAGGACTTTCTAGACCTCATCCAGTCCTTTAACTTTGTTCAGAGTGTTGTTGGTCCGACTAACCAGCAGGGCCACACTCTAGACTTAGTTTTAACACATGGTTTGTCTGTTTCTGATTTAGAAATTGGTGACACTGTTTGTTCCGACCACAAACCGGTTTTATTCAACACCTCACTGATTTGTGAACCTGCACCTCCCCCCACACCCAAGCCCTGTAGGATTTTTAACCCTTCCACCGCCACACTCTTCTCTTCCATCTTTGCTAGTAATTCTGTTTCAGACTCTGAACTCTCTGTGGGTCTTACTACAAAGGAGTTGCTTTCTCAGCATCAGGAGGCGTGTGTACAGATCCTGGACTCAGTCGCCCCGTTAAAGCTCAGGAATCAAAAACGTACGCCCCACCCTTGGGTAAATGAGACTACACGAGAGGCAAGACGCCTGTGCAGAAGAGCTGAACGTCGATGGAAAAAAGATAAACTTCAGGTGTCTTTTGAGATGTTAAAAACATGTTGGAAAGCGTATCAGACCACCGTTAAACAGAAGAAAAACAAATATTTCTCAAAAATCATCAACTCAAACAGTCACAACCCCCGCGTTCTTTTCAGCACCATTAACACCATTCTAAACGTGCCTCAGTCTGCCACCATTGAGGCCTCTGTCGACACCTGTAATAAGTTTGTCAGGCATTTTGCTGAAAAGGTTGAGTCGATTAGGTCATCAATTCCACACTCCACAGCCGACCCTTCAGTTCTTGTCCCCTGCTCAGCAGTCTTCAGTCACTTTGACCCCATCTCACTCTCATTTTTAAATGAGGTCTTTGATCACACGAAGCCCTCAGGCTCCCCTGCTGATCCCATCCCTGCTGCATCTTTTAAACAGGTTCTACCGTCAACTGGACCCTCTGTTCTTGCCATTATTAACAGCAGTTTGGCTACAGGTGTGGTCCCCGATGTTTTAAAACATGCAGTGGCAACTCCATTAATTAAAAAACCCGGACTCGACCCTGCAGCTTGTTCAAACTTCAGGCCAATCTCAAAACTTCCATTTCTTTCTAAAATCTTGGAGAAAATAGTTTTTAGTCAACTAACCAAGTTTTTGAATGTAAATGGAATTTTTGAGATTTTTCAGTCAGGATTTAAACAACTGCACAGCACTGAGACAGCTTTAGTAAGGGTCTGTAATGACATTCTGCTAGCGAATGACTCTGGTCAGTCTGTGATCCTGGTACTCCTCGACCTTACCGCTGCATTTGACACTGTTGATCACAGCATCCTTATGTCACGGCTAGAACACTGGGTTGGGATTACAGGGGTGGCGCTAGAATGGTTCCGTTCTTATCTGGGTGACAGGAGTTTTTGTGTTAACTTTGGCAATCATTTATCTGCTTCTGTCCCTCTTTCCTGTGGGGTCCCACAAGGCTCCATTCTTGGACCCCTTCTGTTCTCATTGTATCTGCTCCCCTTGGGGTCAATCCTGAGGAAACATGGTATTTCGTTTCACTGTTACGCCGATGACTCTCAGATCTATCTACCTTTAAAACCAAACAGTTCTTGCTCCATCCTCCCTTTGCTAAAATGTCTTGATGACATCAAGACGTTGATGGCTGAAAACTTCTTGAGTTTTAATGATCAGAAGACTGAGGTCATTGTGTTTAACCCAAGCTTTACCACTGTCACTGATCCTGTAAACTGCACTCCCTTCAGCCTCATCTAAAGCAGTCAGTTATCAATCTCGGGGTAGTGTTAGACTCTGTCTTTAAGTTTAATAAACAGATCAACTGTGTTCTACAAAAAAGCTTCTTTCAGTTAAGGCAAATAGCAAAGCTTAAGTCCGTTCTGTCCTGATCCGACCTTGAAAAAGTAGTCCATGCATTTATTACTTCCCGGCTAGACTACTGTAACTCACTTTATGTTGGAATTAGTCAGGCTTCACTCTCACGTCTCCAGCTCGTACAAAATGCTGCAGCTCAGCTTTTAACAGGAACTCACAGGTTTGAGCACATTACTCCGGTTCTGTCCTCTCTTCACTGGCTTCCTGTATGTGTCAGAGTTGATTTTAAAATTCTCCTGCTGACATTCAAGTGCATTAACGGCCTTGCACCATCATACCTCTCCGACCTTCTTTATCCTTATACTCCCTCTCGGGCTTTGAGATCATCAGACCAGCTGCTTTTGGCCGTACCAAAAACCCGGCTGAAGCTCAGAGGAGATTGAGCGTTCTCAGTCGTGGGCCCTAAACTTTGGAACAATCTGCCCATCAACATTCGACAGGCCACCTCAGTTTCTGCTTTTAAATCTCTCCTAAAAACACATTTATACTCATTGACATTTAACACAGGGTGATCAGCTTTAGATCTGGTTTTTCATTGATGCTGATTCTGTTTATGCTTTTGTGAACTCTGCTTGGAACTATTTCCATAATAATTTCATTTATTTCCTGAACATACATGCTCCTTTTCGTCAGTTCAGAATAAAGGGACGAGACAGCCCCTGGTTTACTCCAGAGCTAGCTGACCTCCTGCACAGGAGAGATCATCTTTGGGCTGCAGCGAGAAAATCTGGCTCAGATACTGATTGGTTGAGTTTTCGACAGATGAGGAATAAATGCACAACTGCTGTTAAAGCAGCAAAACGCAACTATTTCTTATCTCAGACTTCCAAAAATCTAAATGACCCTAACTGATTCTGGAAAACCATCAAAACTCTCTCAGGCACCCCCCAATCATCTGACCTCCCATCACAACTTCTCGTTAACTCTGTTCCTGTGTTAAATAAGCACGAGATCCTGAACTGTTTCAACAAACATTTTGTTGCTTCTAGTTCTTTATTTGACACAGTTACTAATGGAAAATCAGCCACTTCACTTAATAACCAAACTTCTACAAATCAAATCCCTCCTACAAGTCAATCCTCAGTTAATCACAGCTTCTCTTTTTCTCCATTCTCAGTCAGTGAGGTCAATAAACTGTTAAAAGATCTTGACCCTTAAAAATCTGCAGGTCCAGATGAACTTCCACCTTATTTCTTAAGGCTGGCTGCTCATATCATCACAGTCCCTGTGACCCACATCTTCAATCTCTCCATAAGACAAAACTCCACCCCAGACGCTTGGAAAACAGCATTTGTTCTTCCTTTGCTGAAGGGAGGAGACCCCACCTCACTGAACAACTATCGACCAATCTCTAAACTCTGCATTTTAGCCAAGGTTCTAGAAAAACTGATAAACTCTCAAATCAAAAATTACCTGGACTCATTTAACATCTTACCTCCACATCAATCTGGTTTCAGGAAACAACACAGCACAACCACTGCTTCACTGAAGGTTCTTAATGATGTTGTTGAAGCACTGGATGCTAAGGATTATTGTGCTGCACTTTTCTTACACCTGTCTAAAGCTTTTGACACTGTGGATCATAACATCTTGTGTCATAAACTCTCAGAAATCGGTTTCTCAGAACACACAATTGGTTGGTTCTCTATCTATCTTTCAGACCGGAGGCAATGTGTTCAACATAATGGTACTTCCTCCAGTTATTTAACAGTCAACAATGGTGTACCACAAGGCTCAGTCTTAGGACCCGCCCTCTTTACAATCTACATACATAATGTAGGTAAAAACATCCCTAATGCATCCATACATTTCTATGCTGACGACACAGTTGTTTATTGTCGAGCTAAAACTGTTGCTAAGGCTTTCCAGCTTTTGAAATCTGCATTCAACATCATCCAGACTGATTTGTTTCGCCTCAAACTTGTCCTAAATGCCGACAAAACCAAAGGGATGCTTTTTTCAAATAGGAAGTTGGTCCCAGCAGTTCTTCCTCTGATTTTATCCTCAAATGGTGAAACCCATTGAGTTTGTTGATTCCTATAAATATTTGGGTATCTTGGTCGACTCACATCTCTCTTTTAAGCTCCATGTGGAAAACTTCGTAAAGAAACTGAAAGTTAAACTGGGTTTCTTTTTCAGAAACATACCCTGTCTAACCCTGAATGCTAGAAAATGCCTTGTATCTGTGACTTTTCTTCCCTCAATTGATTATGGTGATATTATTTACATGAACGCTCCTACAAGAACCCGGCAGATGTTGGATGCTGTCTATCATGGTGCACTAAGATTCATAACTGGCTGTGATTATCGTACCCACCACTGCACACTGTATTCACTGGCTAACTGGACATCATTAACTTCACGCAGACTCTCTCACTGGTATATTTTCATCTTTAAATCACTTCTTGGTCTGTTGCCTTCATACATCTCCTCCTACATGTCTCTGCGTGAGTGCAGCTACGGAGTGCGCTCTCAGGACATTATTACCTGCAGTGTTCCCTTAATGAGGACTGAACTAGGCAAAAGGGCCTTCTCCTATTCCAGTCCTGTTTCCTGGAACATCTTACAAAAAGATTTGAAGCTCTCGACCTTGACCTCTCTAAGTGTCTTTAAGAATCTGTTGGACACCTGGCAGGGACCAATGCTGACATGTTCCTGTTTTTAGTTTTCTACATTTGTCTTGGAATCTAGCTGTTTTTTGTTTTGTTACCTTTTCCTTTTAGCCATCCTATTTGTTAAAAAAAAAAAACTGTAGTATGCTTTTTTATAACTGTTTTGCTGTTGCTGTTGTCCATTGTTGTCATCTTTCTTTGTTGAAATCAGGTCTCTCTTGTAAATGAGTCCTCGAGGCTCAATGGGATTTACCTGTATAAATAAAGGTTGATTGATTATTATTCCTATTTAACACAAGATCATCTGATCTGATTTAGTATTTCATTGTTTCTGACTGAGTTTATGCTTTTTGTTATTATTTCCTTGACTTTTGACACACGTGATCTGATTTAGTATTTCATTGTTTCTAATTGTTTTTGGTTTTATATTTTTATTCCATCTGCTGTAAATATATCTTGCTACTTTTTATCTGATGGTGTGATATTTTTGTTAAGCACTTTGGTAACAGTTTCTGTTTTAAATGTGCTCTATAAATAAATCTGACTTGACTTGACTTGACTACAAGTAAATCTTCAGGAAATCACACCTTTTCTCTTTTTCCATTTTAAGTTAGTGAGGTAAATAAACAGTTAAAAGGTCTAGACTCTAAAAAATCTGCAGGACCAGAAGAACTCTCACCTTATTCCTTAAGGCTGGCCGCTCAAATCATCGCAGTACCGGTGTCTCACATCTTTAACCTGTCCATAAGCCAAAATTCCATTCAAGACGCTTGGAAAACAGCCTTTGTTCTACCTTTTCTGAAGGGAGGTGACACCACCTCACTGAACAATTATCAAACAATATCTAAAGTCTGCATTTTAGCCAAGGTTCTAGAAAAACTGATAAACGCTCAAATAAAAACACATTTGGACTCATTGAACGTCTTACCTCTCCATTAATCTGGTTTTAGGAAACGACACAGCACAACGACTTCTTTGCTGAAGGTTTTTAATGATGTTGTTGAAGCATTGGATGCTAAGGACTACTGTGCTGCACTTTTCTTAGACCTGTCTAAAGCTTTGACACTGCGGACCATGACATCCTATGTCAAACTCTAAGAAATTGGTTTCTCAGAACACACCATTGGTTGGTTCTTTAACTATCTTTCAGATCGGAGGCAGTATGTTCAACATAATGGCACTTCCAACAATTTTCAGTCAGGTCATCTGGACAGTTTTTTTTTGGTGCTGAAATGTTTCATATTCCATCCAGAAGGCTTCATGAGTCAAGGAAACTTCTTCTTTTGGCTTTTCCCTTTTCAGGAGTCGCCACAGCGAGTCATTCTCCTCCACCTCACTCTGTCCTCTGCATCCTCTGTCCTCACTCCAACTACCTTCATGTCCTCTCTAACTGCATCAATATATCTCCTCATATATCTCCTCTTTGGCCTTCCTCTTTGTATTTTTCCTGGCAGCTGCATTTCTAACATCCTTCTACCAATATACCCACGGTCCCTCTTCTTGACATGTCCAAACCATCTCAGTCTGGCCTCCCTAACTTTATTTCCCTGTTGTTCAACCTGGGCTGCACCTCTGGTGATCTCATTCCTAATCTTATCCAGCATTGTCACTCCTAAGGAGAACCTTAGCATCTTCATTTCTGCCACTTCCAGTTCTTCTCCTGTCTTTTTGTCAATGCCACTGAGTCAAGTCATGAGTCAAGGAAACACACAACATAAATTTGGTTCTTCCCTCAACAGCTTTCTCCAAAGTGGGACAAAGCAGTTACATTGGTGCTAAGATGGTCTCTTTGGCACACCCCCTCCTCCGGTGCTGGCCCTCTCCCTCATCGACAGTCATGTCAAACTGGTTCAAAACCAATAAAGTCCATGCTCAATAACCCAGGTATACAATCCAACAATTTTCAGTCAAGTAATCTGCACAGTGTCTTTTTTTGTGCTGAAACATTTCACCTTCCATCCAGAAAGTTTCATCAGTCAAGGAAACGAACAACAAAAAACTGATTCTTCCCCCAATAGCTTACTTTGACGTGGAACAAACCAGTTATGTTGGTGCGAAGATGGTCTCTTTGGCACACCCCCTCCTCTGGTGTCGGCCCTCTCCCTCATCGGCAGTCATGTCCAGATGACCTGACTGAAAATTGTTGGATTGTATACCTGGATTATTGAACATGGACTTTGTTGGTTTTGAACCAGTTTGACATGACTGTCTACAAAACACAGCAATGATAAATAATAAACAGAAAAAGGACCACAACAGACGAAAAAACATTGTCATCCCTTATGGTGCTAGAATATCAGAGAAATTCAAAAGGATTTTCAACAAACAAAACATCCCAGTACATTTCAAACCCAGCAGGACTCTCAGACAGAGGCTGGTCCACCCTAAGGACAAAACACCCATACACAAACAGAGTCATGTTGTGTATGTGGAGCAATGCAGCGAGGACTGTCCAGACCTCTACATTGGGGAAACTAAACAGCCTCTTCACAGACACATGGCTCAACACAGGAGAGCCAACTCCTCTGGACAAGACTCAGCTGTTCACCTCCACCTCACAGATAAGGGACGCTCTTTTGAGGACCAAAATGTGCACATTTTGGACAGAGAACAGATGGTTTGAGAGAGGGGTGAAGGAAGCAATTTAGGTAAAAAGAGAAAAAACGTCTCTTAACGGAAGAGGAGGCCTCAGATTTATATTTTCAAAAACGTATAATGCAACTTTAAGACTGATTCCCAGCCAGTTTTCACACCTGATGGGAACAGAGGAGTCTTATTTGTGAAATAGAGTAACAAAGACCTTAAGAAACTCCTACTGTTAAAGTGTGAGGTGCGATTTGTCAATATACATATATATGTGTTTCTTATCTCAGCCTTATAACCTGAACCCCACACTCACTGCTCTTTGAATTGAGAAAGCTCCTTGGGTGAGGAGCGAAATGTCTTCTGTTACAAATAAAATCCAGTTTTTTTGTGGTGAACATTTTTGAATTTATCATATCCTGGAAGACTGAGAATCTTCACCAGCAATAATTTGGGTCAGATTAAGTGACAGGCAACATTCCTTGAATTTATCAAAGAGGGGGCTCGACTTTTCACAGATTATATTGAAATCTCCGGCAACAATAATCTCATTGAAATATAAATTAACTAGAAAGTCTGTTAAGGGCTCCAGTATACTGCCGCGTACGTCCGTTCATTCGTACGTACGTTCACAGGTACGTACGTACACGCGTACGTACGCGTGTACTGTACGCAGAGGGTTCAGTCATTAAACTCCAGCATACACCCCGAGCAGCTGCAGAGCAGCTTCACAGACAAGGGGCGTTTACTTTCGGGACAATTTGAAGTTGCCGATTGGTCATTTGCTAACGCATATACTGGATTGATTGACAGATTGGAAAAAAGAAAAAAAAGCGAGTACTGGTAGACTGAGCCGCAGCGGTGTTCTGTTTATATGTTGTTAAAAAAAGAACTAAAAAATAAATAAAAAAACAGGGAGTTCTGGCTCTACAGCCCACACATCAGACCAGCACACCAGGAAATCTCCAGACCCTCCCGAAGCCATGCTAGACCTGAGTTTAATTCGCTCTTGACAAATTCCTTCATTTCTCACCATTTCAGTCATGGCATCAACGGAGGAGGAAGAGATCACTGCCTCTTGGCAAAAAAAAAAAAAAAAAAAAGGCCAGTTCAGGGATGAAGAAGGGGAATTTAATACATTGGTGTCACATACAAAACAGGCCGTCACTGGGCAGTTTATTGTGCGACACCGCATACACGTATGCGGTCGTAAAAATTTGAGCAGTGCACGGACACCCCTGGGGGGGTGAGCATGTACCTCTGCGTAGGGTTTTTCGGTCACTACCCAGCGCTCATGACCACAGGTGAGGGTAGGAACATAGACTGATCGATAAAGAGCTTTGCCTTACCGTCCAGCTCCCGCTTCACCACAACAAACCAGTACAAAGTCTGCAATACTGCAGGTACTGCACCAATCCATCTGCCAATCTCGCATTTCATTCTTCCCTCACTCATGAACAAAACCCCAAGATACTTGAACTCCTTCATTTGAGGCAGATCCTCACCCTTGACCTGAAGAAAGCAATACACCCTTTTCAGATTGAGGACCATGGCCTCAGGTTTGGAGGTGCTGATTCTCATACCAGCCACTTCACACTGCTTTGAACCGTTCCAGTGAGAGCTGAAAATCATGGCACGATGACACCAACAGGACCACATCATCTGCAAAGAGAAGAGATGGAATCCTGAGGTCACCAAACTGGAATCCCTCAGCCCCCTGGCTGCACCAAGAAATTCTATCCATAAAAGTTATAAACAGAATGGTGACAATGGGCAACCCTGGCGGAGTTCCAACTCCCACCCTGAAGGGGTCCGACTTTCTAACGACAATGTGAACCAAACTCTCGCACTGCTTGTATAGGGACCGAACAGCCCATAACAATGGGACCCCAATCCTTCACCTCCACAGTGTGCCCTGAGGAACATGGTCAAATGCTTTCTCCAAGTCCACAAAACACATGTAGACTGTATGGGAAAACTCCCATGACCCCTGGACTCGCTTCTCCAGTACCCCTGAATAGACCTTACTAGGGAGGTTAAGGAGAGTGATGCCCCTGTAATTGGAACACACCCTCCGGTCCCCCTTTTTGAAGAGGGGAACGACCACCCCAGTCTGCCAATCCAATGACACTGCCCCAGATGTCCATGCAATGTTGCAAAGGTGTGTCAAACAAGATAGCTCCACAATATCCAGAGCTTTTAGGAAATCAGGGCAAATCTCATCCACCCCTGGAGCCCTGCCGCCATGGAGCTTTTTAACTATATCAGCGACCTCAGCCACGGCTATGGACAAACCAATCCCGAAGTCCCCCAACTCTGCTTCTTCCATGAAAGATGTGCCAGTGGGATTGAGAAGATCCAAGAAGTATTCCTTCCAACTCCTGATATCACTGGTTGAGGTCAACAGCACCACACCTTTAATGAATACTTTGTTTTATGCTGTGTTTGATTTTCACTTTTTGGTGGACTTAGACTTGTCCACATGCTGATTCTGCATTTTAGTTTAGTTTTATAAATAAAAAATTAAACTATTT